TTCCCCTGGCCCCCCCGCCCCTTCCCCTGGTCCCCCAGCCCCTCCTCCTGGTCCTCCAGCCCCTCATCCTTGTCCTCCAGCCCCTTCTTCTGGTCCTCCAGCCCCTTCTTCTGGTCCTCCAGCCCCTTCCCCTTGTCCTCCAGCCCCTTCTCCTGGTCCTCCAGCCCCTTCTCCTGGTCCTCCAGCCCCTTCTCCTGGTCCTCCAGCCCCTTCCCCTGGTCCTCCAGCCCCTTCCCCTGGTCCTCCAGCCCCTTCCCCTGGTCCTCCAGCCCCTTCCCCTGGTCCTCCAGCCCCTTCCCCTGGTCCTCCATCTCCATTACCCTTCTCTGGACACTCCCCAACCCTCTCCTGCTGCTTCCCCCTTGACCAGTGCTCCCAGTTTCCGTGCAGAGCCCCTGGAGGGCTCGGAGCAGGACAAAGCCACCTACTCCCTGCACAAGAGGAGGAAGATCCTGAGGCTGGTGAGCCAGTGGGTGCTGCTCTACGGGCGGCTGCTGCAGGGCGACCGCAGCACCACGGCGCTGCTGCAGGTACTGGGGGGGTCCCCCAAGCTGGGGAGGATGTGGGGGGCGATCAAAGGGGGGATGTGACCTCCCCACAACTTCCCTCTGGCAGAGTTTGGCCGACCTGGCGAGTCGGGACCCCCGGCTGGGGCGCTTTAGCGTGATTGGCGGCGTCCCCGGGCGTGAGTCCCCTGGGGAGGAAGGAGGGGAGGGGGGGGTCTCAGGCTCCTGGGGTCACCACTGAAGCTCCAAAGCCTCCTCTGCACCCCTCCTGGAAGCCCAGGCTGGTTGGGGTTGGAGGGAACTCAATGCTCATCCAGATCCAACCCCCCTGCGTGATCCCACCTCCCACCAGCCCAGGCTGCTCCAAGCCCCATCCAACCTGCCCTTGGACACCCCCAGGGGTGGAAAACCATCTTGAAGATCATCTAGGGGACGGTGGTGATCTATGAGATGGTTTATAAAGTCCCTTCCAACCCAATCCAACCCATTCCATCATCTAAAGCCCATCCATTCCCAACCCCCTGCACAGGCAGGGACACCTCCCACCCGCCCC